TGCCTTTAACATCGGAAATTGACCGGCCGCAAAGCCCAAAACTATGGAACTGTTTTGGGCAGGAAAATGTGCTTGCGGTCGGTCATAAAGGACTTCCATCTAACTTTTGATTTACTGGAAGGATTGGTGTGTTCAATAAAAAGATGGCAACATTTCATTCTTTGTCTGTTTTTAGTTTAAGCAGACCGTGATTGTTGTTACTTAGATGATCAGATCACATTTTATGACTAATTTGTGCAGAAATCCATATCATTCCAAAGGGTACAAATATTTTTCTTGCAATTGTATATCCCTAGGTGGGGATTGTTCCACCTAAAGCTCCATACACTAGAGCAGGTCATTGCTCTAGCAAATGTAAGTAGGTCAAATATTATTTACTTTTCCTACTTTTACATCAGTACTGTACCATTGACATACATCCTTGTTTTTTTCATATGATGAACCGCAATACCTTGGGAATCTGATACCAGCAAAAAGTAATCCTTAGACAGGGATTGTTCCGTCCAGGCTCCTAAAATAGAGCTTTTTAAGTTCTGGAAAACATGAGTGTAACGGACCGTTTTGCACACAAGGGGTAAAAACCGTTTAGGCGATCGGCCCCCTTTCCAGAGATACAGGCACAGCTACTGCAGAACACCAAACTCCCGAACTGGATACAAAATAGCACTCCAACTCCCGAACTGGAACCTCCCAAATAGCTGCTAGCAGACGAACAGGAAAAGCAGACAATCAGCTTACACTCCTGGCAATCAGTCTAACAGCATACAGTGAATCCCCCCAAGAACGAGACAAGGCTCTGTGTTGAGGGTCAAGCAGTGGTCTTAGGTGCTGGCACACCCAGCCTGGTTTTTATTACAGTCTTGCAAATACAGGACCGCCCACAGGGAGGTATAAAACAACCAATCACATCACAGTTACATCCCACATATTCCCTCCCCTTATCCTGAGAGGAAACTCAATTATACATACAGTTAAAACATACTTTCTACCCAACTTTCATAACTCTAAAACCATACATCACATTCACATAAAATAACATATTTGGAATCAATCCATTCAGGGGAACAACATATTAAAAAATGGCACGAATTAGACCAGGGGTTCAAAAGTTAGTAAAAAGTCCTTTGTGACTAAATGAAGCATGGCTTTCTGGCCCAAACCAGTTTCAGAGTCTTCTATCCTGGAGAGTAATTCAATTATCTCCCAGGACAGACACAAGACTCCATTAAGCACATGGTTGCAAAAAGACACAAAACACTTTAAAATACATAAAGTCACATTTATTACATAAAACACAGACATGTAACATATCCCCAGATAGCTCAGGTCCGAGCGCACATTATTAAGTGAATGGCGCTCAGACCACACGAATACAGTTTAATCGCCATGGAGCCAAAGTCTTTACAGTCAGTTTCATACGAATAGGCTCCATGGGATTCCTATCTGGGGTATAACACATTCAAACAAATCTACCGAACCCCAGGCAGAAAAGCACGAATGAAGCTTTTCTGCAGGTAAAAAAAGATGTCTTTTAACAGGGGGCCATAGTCCAAAGGCAGCAGGCGAGCAACCAGGCTTCTCCAATGCAATGTGGCGAGATTGGTCTCGTCACAATGAGTGCCCCTTTGGAATATATCTTTATCACCATATGTTTCCTCCTCGGACCCGCGCAGCACGACAGTCCTTTTGACGCCGGCCGCTCACACCACTCGTTTCTTTATAATACGGCGCAAGTGCGCCGTAGCCGGCAAGTAAATGCCAACATACTTCACAGGTGACCACACCCCCGTACCTTTTGGAGGCGTGGTTTTAAAGCAATATACCCCACAGGGCATCACTGTCAGTCGTAGTGTGGTTCTTGTTGGTTCCTCTAGTGCTGATAATCTTCTTATGTGTTTGTTTCCTGGTTATTGACTTTTGGCTTTACTTTTTGACTATTCTGCTCGGTGGTTTCCTGTACTTTGGCTAGGTTATATCGTTTATCCATCTTCTGTACTCCCTTGATCTCTGGCTATCCATTTGACTACTCTAAACATTAGTCTGGCCACTCTAAGGTCCGGTATACGTTCTTCTTTGGGTTACACTCTGTGAGAAGGGGTCACTATCGTGACATTACACTAGGGCCATGGACCCTGCAGGTACCTGATAATTGGTTTGAGGAACTGAATCATTGTATGGACCAGATCGCTCTAGCCATACAAACCTTACAAACCCATACTGCTCATCTCCAACCGGAGGAGCAAATCCCTACCCAGAGACCTCAGGAACACCCTATGTAAATAGTTGCTGCAAGCACTTCCAATCAGGCTACATCCCCTCTTCGATATGGGGGTGATCCTAAAGGATGTCGGGGTTTCTTGAACCAAGTCAGCATTTATTTTGAACTCCATGCAAGAGCATATCCTACTGACAGGGTTAAAATTGGCTATATAATCACCCTATTAATAGATCGAGCATTAGTCTGGACCAATCCCTTGTGGGAGAACGACAACCTGATAGTTTTTAACTATGCTGAATTTGTCGCAGCTTTTAGGAGAACCTTTGACCCCCCAGGGAGAAGGACTAACGCTGCCAAACTCTGTTACGTTTGAGACAAGGCCCACATTCCCTAGTTGACTATGCTCTGGAATTCCGTACTCTTGCTGCTGAGGTTTGATGGAACGAACAAGCATTTGTAGATGCATTCATGAATGGATTGTCTGACAAACTCTTAGATGAAGTAGCTACCAGAGATTTACCTAATACTCTGGAGGAATTAATCACTTATCTTGCTCACATTGACGAACTACTCTGGCATAGGCAAAACTCTAGGGAAAGATCAAAAAGGGTGCCGGAACACCTACCCTTGACTTATCCTTCTTCTGAGACAACAACGGTTATTCCTCCAGAGCCAATGCAATTGGGAGTTACACGATTATCTGAGACAGAGAGACAATACTGTAGAAGGGAGGGGTTATGCTTGTATTGTGGCAAGAAAGGACATTCCCGCTTTACATGTCCTAACCGGCCGGAAAACTCCCGCACCTAAGCCCTCAAGGAAGACAGGCCAACTAAACGTTTTCTTGTTCACACAGATGCTTCTATGTTTGGATTGGGGGCAGTATTAAGCCAAGTCGGGGCTGATGGCGGAGAACACCCCGTAGCAAACATCAGTCGGAAACTACTACCCAGAGAAGTGAGCTACGCCGCCATCGAAAAGGAGTGCCTGGCTGTGGTGTGGGCCTTAAAGAAGTTGCAACCTTATCTGTATGGACAGTCTTTCTCCCTGCTCATGGATCACAACCCGTTGGTTTGGTTAAACAGGGTGACAGGAGACAATGCCCGGCTGTTACGCTGGAGTTTGGCGCTACAGCCGTTTGACTTTAACATCCAGTACTACCCGGGAAAACAGAATGGCAATGCAGACGGGTTGTCCAGACAAACTGACCTTGAACAATGATCCGTGAGCCATCCGGACATCCCCAAGGCGATCCGTGTGGGATCAGACTGTTTATGCCGGCTTGTGGGCAAGGGGGAGCAGTGTAGCGGATGGCCTGTGACTATCCGCCAGAATTATGTGTTAAAAGACTGTTCGCCTGTTTTAACTGAATGTATAGTGAAAATTGTATCTAAGTTCGTATGTTAGTTCGGTAGTTTTCTTCATAGTTATATGAATGGAAACTACCGAATACATAGACCACCTTAGAGCTGAAGTGTGTCCCTCGTCAAACCCATTATTCTCTTTGTAACCGCAGCTAATTGAGGTTTTATTGAGCACGATCTCTCAGCGGTGTTTGGTCGTCGAGTGTCTGGAACCCAAATCGCACACTCGATTGCGCGAACACCGCTGAGACCTCCAGAGCTCCAGAACTCTCGAACGGAGGGGCTAATCGACTCCCCGTTCGGAGAGTTCAATATACCGAACAAGGGGGTTCATGCGAACCCGGTATTCTCTATGGATGACAAGGATTTATGTCTATTTCATCTCCCGAACGAAGACCGACCGCAGGGCCAGAATACATCGGTCAAGTTGTTTAATGTCTATAACTCCCGAACCCCTGGTCTGATCTGGGTGAATTTTGTGTATGTTGGTCCCCCAGACCAGGGCTACCAGGGGATGCCACTTAAGTCCTGGTACCCCATGGTTTTAGGGTACATCCAAGAAACAGGAGAAAAGGTGCCAGGAGTAAGTGGATTAAGCGTCACTCTGAGGGGAGGGAAAGTAGGGGAGGGAACCTCTGTATCATTGGTTACTGTTGTAATTACTGTAAATCCGTCCCTTGCATGGGATAATCCTTTATAAGGAGCTGCTGTGAATAAATCTTTAGTTCTGCTCCTGATACTGTGTGTCGTCCAGTTATTGGGAGTGCTGTTGGGATACTGCTGTATTGTTTTGCCTGCTGGAGACTTTGCCCTATGGATTTATAATTGCTTGTTCCTGAGCCTCACTGGGATCTACAAGTGGAGATAGGCTATGAAATACTAGCTCTCCGGAGCGACATGTTTATTATCACTGTATGGATACTCAGTATTATTACACAGAGGAGTGATTACATTATTATGTGGATACTGTGGTGTATACCAGCAGTCCCCTTTAGGGAAGCTTTGCACAATGAACAGTTTTTCCCTAACCAGCTCCTGTAGTAAGTGTGCAAGGCATGCTGGGATGGATACACTCCCTAGATTTGCTCTCTTCCCAGCGTGTGTATGGAGTTTGGCCATGTTGGGTGTATGTTATAGCAGGAATGTGTATATCAACAAAGGGATCGAACATAATATGTGACTTGTGATCACTAAATCCTGGCTGATTAATAGACGGTATGTTATTGTAAGTCAGCTATCATCAAATATAACAGGTACTCGATATCATTATACAGAGCAACATGTTTATTATCAGCGTATAGATACTCAGTATTACAGTGCGACATGTTTATTATCAGCGTATAGATGCTCAGTATTATTATACAGAGTGACATGTTTATTATCAGCGTATAGATACTCAGTATTATTATACAGAGTGACATGTTTATTATCAGCGTATAGATACTCAGCATTATTATACAGTGCGACATGTTTATTATCAGCGTATAGATACTCAGTATTATTATACAGAGCGACATGTTTATTAGCATATAGATACTCGGTATTATTATACAGAGTGACATGTTTATTATCAGCGTATAGATACTCAGCATTATTATACAGAGCGACATGTTTATTATCAGCGTATAGATACTCAGTAATATTATACAGAGCGACATGTTTATTAGCGTATAGATACTCAGTATTATACAGAGCGACATGTTTATTATCAGCGTATAGATACTCAGTATTATTATACAGAGCGACATGTTTATTATCAGCGTATAGATACTCAGGTTTATTATACAGAACGACATGTTTATTATCAGCGTATAGATACTCAGGTTTATTATACAGAGCGACATGTTTATTATCAGCGTATAGATACTCAGGATTATTATACAGAGCGACATGTTCATTAACAGTGTATAGATACTCAGGATTATTATACAGAGTGACATGTTTATTATAGAGCAACATGTTTATCAGCATATAGATACTCAGTATTATACATAGCGACATGTTTATAATCCGTGTATATATAGTCAGTATTATTATACAGAGCAACATGTTTATCATCAGCGTTTAAATACTCAGTATTACTATACATAGCGACATGTTTATTATCAGTATATAGATACTCCGTGTGACAGAACCATCTGTCTGTTTATTGCGGTGGATTCGTCTGTTTCTGCCCCGTTCGTGTAAATGGCTGTTTCCTATAGCCCAGCCATACGAATGACTGTTTTTCCCGAACAAAACTACCGAACGGATGGCCACCCTGGAGAGAAGTGTGCTGCTGGTTAACCTATTGATCCCAATTAGAACGTTGTGGTTAACCGCAGACACTTCTCAATTAAACCGAATTCAGGGCGGTCTTCCGTATGTCGACCACGAGGCAGCGGCCATTTTAAAACATGTGAAAGCCCAGCGGTGTTTGGCTCTATTTTCATGAAACTAAAAACGGACACTTTTTCTGCCGAACACCGCTGAAACAACGGAACGCCTGGCTGCCTCCAAGAAAGCATACGAACACTGGCTGTTCGGGAGTTTTGAAACACACGAAAGAACTTAACCCAGATAGCCTACCCATGGAGTCAATCGCATACCGAAAGACTGTAAGAACTTTGACTCCATGGCGATTGAACTGTGTGTGTGGGATCTGAGCGCTATTCGCTAATAATATGCACTCAGATCCAGGCTATCTGGGGATATGTGATGCGAATGGGAAATGTTAGGTTATTTTAAAGTTTATATTTTTATGTATTTTCTAGTATTATATTTAAGATGGCGATTGTCTTTGTCCTGGAGATAATTTAATTACTTCTCAATTATCTCCAGGGCAGAGGGGAGGAAACTATAGTGCATTGTGGGTAAAAGCTGTGACTGTATGTCTGGAATGTCTTTATGTCCATCTGTAATTCCAGTCTCCCATTTGATCCCCTAGGGGAGTGTCCACCAAGTGGGAGACCTGCATAAATACAGGCAGGTAGCCCACAGTAAAGCCAGATCCTGTTTGACCCTCAATGCGAAGCTTCTGTCTCGTTATTGGGGGGATTTCTTCTTTGCGTTTAGAGACTGCTGGATGGAACCGAAAGCTGCTTGGGGGATATCGTTGTTCGGCGGCTAGCAGCAGTTCGTGGATTTCCGTTTGGGAGTTTGGAGCCTTTCACGGATCCCGATCGGGAGATTACCGCTTCCCCTGGTTATGGTTCGTGGATTACTGAATTGTGAAAGGGGAAGGTGAACTAAACGGCGGTTTCCCTTAAAGACACCAGGGGTGTCTTAACACTCCGTATTATTATACAGAGCAACATGTTTATTATCAGCATATAGATACTCAGTATTATTATACAGAGCGACATGTTTATCATCAGCGTTTAGATTCTCAGTATTACTATACATAGCGACATGTTTACTATCAGTGTATAGATACTCGGTATTATTTTACAGAGCGACATGTTTATTATCAGTGTATAGATACTTGGTATTATTTTACAGAGCGACATGTTTATTATCAGTGTATAGATACTCGCCATTATTTTACAGAGCGACAGGTTTATTATCAGTGTATAGATACTCGGTATTATTATACAGAACGACATGTTTGCTATCAGTGTATAGATCAGGGCTCGACAAATCCCAGGCGCCAGGTCGCAATGGTGTCTAGAAATTTCGCCCTGGCGTCTGAGATGTGCCAGCTCTTTAGTTTGGTAGCTTTGAAAGTGGCTGCCACTCAGTCGGTGCAAGGATATCTGTCGCCCTAGGCAAAGATCCATTTTGCCGCCCCTTCATGTCATTCTCTCACTGACAGAGACACATACGCTGACACACATAAACTCACTGACAGACATTCACTCACTCATTCACACACACACACACACACACACTCACTGATAGATGGACATACACACACTCACTGGCAGACCCACACTCACTCACTGACACACACTGACAGGCACACAGACACTCACTGACAGACATACATTCACTCACTGACAGGCACACACACACAGACACTCCCTGGCAGACATACATTCACTCATTGACTGACAGAAACACACACAAAGGCAATCACTGACAGACATATACTCACTGACAAACACTCAAACACTCACCCCCTTGGGGTCCAGAGTGGGGCAGCTCCTCCTCTGCCCGCTGTTTAGTAAGCCGGGCCCGGAATGATGTCATATTCCGGCTCCCGGCATCACAGATGGCGCTTGAGGGAAGAGTGAGTGGCTGCAAGAAGAGCCTCCCTCGCCGCCTACATTTTCCTCCGGGCACCGGCATTTGATGGCATTGCAGGCACCTGTCATGAAAGTAAGAAGGTGCCTGCTCTGCCATATTGTGACAGGGCTCAAAGACAGGGGAGAGCCCACCAGGAAATATGCTGGTGGGTGCCCCCAGCAGGCAGGAGCCTTAGGCAAATGGAGGCTGCCACACCTACTCCCCCCCGAGGCAGCAGGGAGGCTGCCACCCCCTCCCTCCGAGGCAGCAGGAAGGAGATCCCTCAGGAGACCGTCCACCACCTCATCAGGAGCATGCACAGGCATTGTAGGGAAGTCATACAGGCACGTGGAGGCCACACACACTACTGAGCCTCATTTTGACTTGTTTTAAGGAAATTACATCGAATTTGGATCAGCCTGTAGTGTGTTCTTCCACTTTAATTTTGAGTGTGACTCCAAATCCAGACCTCCATGGGTTGAAAAATTTGATTTCCATTTTTTAATTTGTGTGTGATTTTTGTCAGCACATTCAACTATGTAAAGTATTTCAGAAAAATATTTAATTCATTCAGATCTAGGATGTGTTATTTTAGTGTTCCTTTTTTTTTTTTTAGCAGTATATTAAACATATATAATATAGACACTTCTCACTTATCGACCGGGTTCCCTTCCTATGACCTGGTCATAGAACCAATCGGTCGGTAAGTGGGGAGTTAATGAATACCCTGCTCTGGTGCATTTCTCTATGTTCGGGTAAACTTCCCCGAACATATACATACACACCAGAGCAGAGAATCCCCATGACAGCTTGCACTAACGCCTGGTCGTAAGTTTGAGCCATGGTAAAACAGGTAGGTCGTTAAATGAGGACCACCTGTATATGTATAATATATTTATTTTATTATTTTTCCTATTGCTGTGATGTGATCGTGGTGATCATCACATGGCCATGGAGGATTGGGGTGGCCGGAGCTGCTGTAGGGGGACTGCTGGGGTCTCTGGCAGTCCTCCCCGACCGTGATCGACGCAGATCGTCAGTCCAGGGCTCCTATCGTGGACGTCCTGTCACGGACGTCCTTAATGACCGTTTTGTTGTTGGACGTACCTAGTTTGTCCTCAGTCGTTAAGGGAAAATTATACATATATAATATAATATAATATAATATAATATATATATATATATATATATATATATATATATATATATATATATATATTGTGTGTGTGTGTGTGTGTGTGTATATATATATATATATATATATATATATATATATATATATATAAAAAAATTTAAATCCAGCGCACTCACATATCTACTAAACAGTTGTTTTAGTGCTGAATAATTTTGTTTTATTAAAAACACCTAATTTAGGCAAAAAATTATGGAGGTTTAGTTACAGTATATGATCATACATTGCATACGCCTGCCACAACGCCAATGTACCCCATCTTTGGCAGGTCCTACTCTGTCTGCTAAATGAGCTACTCACTTGGGGAAATCCTTCCATCTCGAGTTCTCTGCAGTACAATGCTTAAATAGGGTCCTGTGATGAGGCACCTGTAACAGGGAGGGGTGCAAAACCAAGATGCTGACTAGACTCCTAAATATATACATATAGGAGAAAACAAGGGTTTGGCTGCACTCACCTAAACATACTTAAATAGGGGGGTGCTGGGGGCCAATAAGTACAGTAAAAATGAAAATCCAGCGCACTCACTTATCTACTAAACAGTTATTTTAGTGCTGAACAATTTTGTTAGTTTTATTAAAACAACCTAATTTATGCAAAAAATAATGGGGGTTTAGTTACAGTATATGATTATACATTGCATAAGCCTGCCACAACACCAAGGATTTCCCCAAGTGAGTAGCTCATTTAGCAGACAGAGTAGGACCTCCCAAAGATGGGGTACATTTGCGTTGTGGCAGCCTTATACAATGTATGATCATATACTGTAATTAAACCCCCATAATTTTTTGCCTAAATTAGGTGTTTTTTAGTAAAACTAACAAAATTGTATGACATATTTATATACCGTACATAATTTAAAAAAATAATTTTAGTTGATTCATTTTTATTGTTTGCCATAATATATACATGTAACGGATCACCTGGCACCTCGACTGGGTACCTCCGTTGAAGGATGCTCCTAGCGCTTCCTGAGGACTCCAAACACTGCAGCAGACACCACAATCACTGAACCGGAGAAGCATATGAATGCTCTCAAGCATATGAATGTTGTATACAGCCGAATAGGAAAAACCATGCGAATAGGTTTACACTCTTAGCAATCAAACTGGAACAGCATACAATAAATCCTCCCCCAATAATGAGACGACACTTCACTTTGAAGGTTAAGCAGGAACTCTCCTGTAATGGCCACACACTGGCTTTTATTTAAGTCCACATGCAAGGGGACATCGCACAGGGTGGGACACAGTACAACCAATCATTTACAGGAGAACCGTAAAACACACCTAGCACAAACATACAATCCCTCCCCTCTGCCTGTGATATAATTACTGAACACAATGGGTTAATGTAATTTATCACAGGCAGGAAAAATACACTTTTTATACATACACTGTAACTTTAAAAATATGCATCATATTCACATAAAACATATATATTCATAATCGGCATACTTTAAATATAAACATAACCAAAATTCAGCCAATTCCATCCAGGGGTTAAAAAGGTAAGGAAAAGTCCTATTTGACCAAATGCAGCATGGCTTTTCTGCCCAAAACCAGTTCCACAGAGTCTTCTATCCTTGAGATAATTTGGAAGTAATCCAATTATCTCCCAGGACAGAGGCAAAACTCCATTAGCCACATGGCAGACAAAGGACAATAAAAGACATAACAATACATACTGTTACATTTATCACATAGAACATTCTACATATCCCCAGATAGCTTAGATCTGAGCGCACATTATTACCGGATGGTGATCAGATCATACATACAGTTCCATCGCCATGGAGCCAAAGTCTTTCATACAGTCTTTCAGTATACGGCTGGGTTCCATGGCATAGCTATCTGGGGTAGCATGGCTTTAACCTTAAACCTTTCTGCAGGTAAAATACAAGTTTAAAATGCAGGAACATAGTCTAAAGGGAGCAGGCGAGCAACCAGGCCTCTCCAGTGGGCAGTGGCGAGGTTGGTTCTGCCACAATACATAATATAGAAAAGTATATATATTATATACATGTGTGTAATTTTACTGTGTATTTTTATATTAATATAGCGTGTTATATACATACAATTTATTTTTTTCTTTTATTGACTTTATTCTTACTTTTCCACCAGCAGGGGGACTGCCTGTCAGTTCAGGCAGTCCCCCTGCTGGCAATACTGTGGACACCTATGGGGGCCATGTGATCACTCTTTTAGAGCGGTCACATGGACCCTGGCGGTCCTAAATTGGAGAGGGGTGATTCTCTGGGCCCAATCCAGAGAGTCCCCTCAAAGAAGAAGACCGATCGCCGGTGGTGGAACGTGGTGA